CATCGCCTACTTCGTATCATTCGAGCCGAACCGGGTGTAAGTTGCAGGTGCAACGTTCCACTCAAAGATAAAACACTGTTGCGCGAATAATTCCGTTCGGACAAACTTCCAAGCGGGATACGGACTAATTTTGTTATCGGCCGAACGATTCCTCCCGCGTCTGACCGAAGAGTGTTTTCTACTGATACGGTCGCGCGATGATTTACAATGCGCCTTTCAGATTTACAACGCAACGTAAAGTAACGTTGATAAATACGCGGTGTCTCATTTTCAGTGTAACGAAGAGCAATCTCTCTATTTGTTGTTGACTCGATTTATTCGGTGTTAAGCGTGTTCGATTAAACATGTCGGACAATTGATATCAACCGTGAGAATTGGAGACAGCTCGAAATTACTCGATGTTGGCTTCGTCCCTTCCACGATAAATACTCTTCTCTGTAACTTTCGATAATTACGATAATGGATGCTCGTTGAAGTTCGTGAACGATTGGCGAACTGAGATTTAAACGTGATAGCAATCGATTAGCATTCTCGTAAATTGTTCAATTGCTTCGGATAATACGTCAAAATCTCGATCGAGCTTGCATATTTCTCGCGCGATTCCGATAATTACGTTCCGTAATATTTTGTTAAATTATCGGTAATTGAAGCCACGATGCGTACAGCGGACCTTTTCAAGCTGTCAGAAGCTGTCAGAAGAATAACTAGCAAACTTAATCAAATTTCCGGCCAATGAGGATTGAAGAGTAATTTGCAGGTAGCTAACGTAAAGCCCGCGATATCGATCGATGATCTATCGCACGGCAATTGTGATTTATCATTCAAATGTGTAAGTATACATGACGATCATCGAGTGTACAATCGACGGCGGCTCGCAGTTTTATTTGAGCTGCGAAAATTCGCGGAATAGTCGAGAATAATTAACATAAATGGTAATCCAGCCGGTTGAGCTCGTTCATTGAAAATTTCTCTTATTTCAAGTTCAACTAACGTAATCACAGAGTTTGTAATTAATGCGCGCCATCGCTGGAGGATCTCAGGGGTTCGTTTCATCTAATTTACCAGGGACAAGAAGCCAGCTGGTCGCAACTGCCGGTCACGTTTACGCGACGCATCGTATCGACTCGATTTTCACTCTCGCACTGCACGTTTTCACTACCCGACACCCGGCTCTTTATTCGCAAGTACGTAATACGAGCAGTTCGATCGAATCGTTTGACGTCCGTATCCCTTAATCGACTTTATTTCAATATAAGGAGCAACGATTGCTATCTGTTTACGGCGGCGAAATATCTATTGTTGCACGTCGAATAACAATTCGTATCAGTCGTATCTCGTACGAATATGAAACTCTATCGAAAATCACGAAACGACGGCAGAACCGGTCGACCGGATTCATTTGCGCTCGAATCGATACCGCGCAGTTATTTAATTTGTTGCAGATCATATGCCGGTGGAAAAGTGTGGCGAAGAAAAACGTACACGAGGAGGACGTACGTCGGCGAGGGAACACAGGTAGTGCTCGAGGCAGGTGAGAGAGAGAGATGCGAGGCCATCTGTTAGTTTCAGAATAAAGTAGCCGACGCAGGTCGATCGTAACAGAACCTCCAGGTAGCGCTTACGGCGAAGGAATCACCGGCGAGAGAAAGTATACGTTGAAAAGCAATGGTGCAATCGATGCGCGTGCATTTAAACTTGACACTTGCCAGCGCATGTCCCTCGCGCGCCAGTGAAACCAGTTCGCCGGTTGTCAGACACGTAACCGATTACGCGCTCGTCAATGCGACCGATTTCGAGGGAAATCGTGCCACGTTCATTTCAAAGGAACATCGCCTCTTTCAGTAGCGGGTAATTACCCTCGTTGTTACGTGTTTGGAGAAAATTGGATTTCGCATGATACTTGCATTATATTTATCGAAATTGGTATTGGTACGGCTATTGGCCGTACAATGTTTCACTTTGAGACGCTCGAATTAGAGTACGTTTTATATTAATGGCTTCTTTGACGTAAATGGGTTAATAGCTTTTTTTCGAGAAAATGACGAATTGTATCGACGTTACGTAGTAAAAAGTACATGATTGCGTTCAAAGGAATGTGAGTGTTCTTAAAAACCTTTCAGTAAAATCTTCTGATAAAAATTGGTTCATTGAAATTGGGCAGCGACGTTAGATTGAGTTGGACTACTTGATTCTTGCACCACTGAGATATGTATCAAATAATTATTATTAGGCGTTCCAAATAACGAAGTTGTATCGTTTCCATTTGTATATAAAGAAGAATCTTTATCAACGATAATTAAAATTGATAAACAAAGTAATTTATAAAAGAAACGGCTAATTGCCGTATCATGGCCAAAACGACTAATTACTTTGTCAATTTGATCAAGAACTTGTCAAATGAATAGTAATTCCTGCATACAATCGAAATTCATAGGCTTCGTAGGTTTCTATGAATTTCCGATAGATTTGAGAATCAAACAGCCACCTGTCGCGTAAATTCCGATCCTTTGAAGATTAATATCATTTGCATGGGAATATGTACGTAATTGGTTTAATGTTACGTATCAAATCTAAAGTCAAACTCTCCGATAGCGATATCCGTCAAGTGCTCTTCCGATGACACGTTCATCGTGTTCTATCTATCAAACCAAGTGGTAAAGAATGTTCATTTGAACGTGAATTGCTATCGGAAATTTTTACGAAAACCACGTAAAGAAAGAAGCTTAGAGGTGTATTAATATCAAGTTGAACGTTTACACAGTTGCTATTAAAAAGAAAAAAAGAAAGGATCCTTTAGAATCCTATTAAGTATCTCAAAGAATTATACGCAAAAGCTTCAAAGAAATATATTCCGCGGATTAGTTTTTATACCGCGGAGAACATTAGTATTTGGGTGCTCGTTCGAAAGCAGCGAGCACAAGTGAGAATGAGAGGGAACGCCGTCTGATATTTAGGAGATGCCATTTCCAAAGATTAATAATTCCAAAGCTTTTGCAGCCACCGCGAATATACGCGAAATATAAAATTAAATGACATGATAAGTCGATACGTGATTCGGCTCTCTCTTTTCTTTCTGTTTCCTTTTCCTTTTTTTTTTCCTTTTTTTTAATTGCTAGTGAGTGTTGTCTTTTAGCAGCGAGTTCGAAAAAGAAGAACAAACGGACGAACTCGCGATCGCGTTTCGCAAAACAGGCGAATGATCCAATAAAGGGAAAAAATGCGGTCTATTCACGCGGCGGTGAAAAGTGGAGGTACAAAGCGGAGCGACGATCGTACGAAACAAACGTAACAAAGTATCGTTATCTAAAATTTCAATGGCGTAAAGATTTAAAAAAAAAAAAAAGAAAAAAAAAGAGAAAAAAAGAAAGTACGCAGAGGCGTACATTGAAAAATTACACTTGTCAAATTCTTTCTTTTCTTTCTTTTACAAGCGGCTTTAAATTCGTCGAAGGGATTTGTAAAACGTAAAAGCGTATCAACGTACCGAGATTACACATATTTTAAAATAAAATCGATCTCGGATCGCATCCATAACTCACGGAATTATCCTCTTATTTCTCGTATCTCAATACCTTTCCACGAGATACCGCGGCACGAACCTTTGTAAGTTTGCTGAAGCATTTCTCCACGACATCCACCGCGAGATATGTGAATACACAAGAGGGCGAGATCGTCCCGGAAACTTGTACGATTTGAAAGAATATACAGGAGAATACGGGGAACGTACAAGAAAGGAAACTTCACGGAAGCTCTCCCTCTCATAGGATTAACTGTTTGGCCAGAGAAAAACTGCGAGGGAGCCCGTAATGTCCCATTTTAAATTCGGGAAATACGCGAACCATATTCAGAGGCCACGCTATTCCGAAATTCGCTTCAATCCGCGTCCTTCTGCGTTTATCCGACTACATTGCACTCTACGTTATATCTAGCTTCCGTTGTACACTCGCTGACTTCGCGATCACGAATTTTTCCACGTAACAAATCGAAAGCCGAAGAGATTGACTTTTCATTCTCTATACGCCTCGCCTTCGTTTATTTCGGTTATAGACGGTTCCCTCTAGCGTTTCGCTTGCTCGGCCGTGCTGATTATCGCTCTCTAATCAATTTGATACACACGCCCGTGCTCCACTTCAAACGTTCGAGCACGCTTTGAGAAATCGAGCGTTGCTTCGCGCGATTTTACAGCATTTCGTTAACCATCGGCTTTCAGTTTTACAGGCAAGATAGAATCTGATTTCGAACGGTGCTGGTTATCAGTTCTCGGCGTTCCTCGGCCTCGAATCGAGCACGCGCGAGCATCGTTGTAACGTCTCTTTGTGCGTCGAGTTCGGATGCACTCACGGACTCTGCGTAGGTTAACGCGTGGGCGATTCGACGCGAGCTTCGCAACCGGTTCGACGAACGTGCCTTACATTACGTCGCGTTACACTTGACGCGTACGTACGCGGTCGTCGTGTTCCCGTGCCTTCTGTACGCCGTAAATCGGCCAAGCGTTTACTCGCAAACACGTGACAAACGTCACGTCTTTGTCGATCTATAAATCGCTCGATAGGTCGGTATACGACCGTCCGAATGGTACTCCGAGACGACGTCGTTTCAGTGCCACGACGTATTTTTTTAACGACGAATGGTAGCGCCGTAAACTTTTAGCAGCCATTTTTAATCCTTCCGAAAAAAGACGCGCGTCCGCGGCGATTCAGTTTATTGCCGTTGTAAATTGTAAATGTAATTACGCGGCATGGATGTGACCTGAATCTCGTTAAATTACATCAGTCCTCTGACATTGTTATATCGTTAAATAGTTATGCGGATGTACATACATACATGCACGCATCAGCGCATCAATATCTACGTTGTTACATCGCATCGATATTCTAATATCGTTATATCGTGGTGCGGCTATTCTTCCGTGGTTAAATCGTTTTATAATCCCGATCGTTATTTTCAATTTCATCGTGGGACACGTGTACCGGATAAACAAAGGAATTTCTGGTTAAAATTTATGACATTTTTACGACGTGTTTCGCGATAGATGTCCCGGATAATGCGGCACGACGAGGTAAAGCGAAACGTCCTGACGATCGAGTCGTCGTATTCTGTTCATTTATCGCTCTTATGGCAAACGTGCGTTCGATGGACTGATTGAAATATTAGAGAAATTGACAACACACACACCTGGTGGGTTTACCTGGATAATAGACTATCTATCGGGGATGATCGAAGCGGACTATCTACTGCAAGTGACGTGTATACGATTGCACCGTTAGTAAGTTTAGGTCACGATCTACAGTTACGTCGTCAACGACGATGGTTAATGTAACTGGGAACGAAGTAACTGAACTTCTAGAAAATTTGATTACGCTAACTAACTTTAATACTAACAAACTGCTCAGACGAATTATTGCAGATGTTTTGCATATCGTGAAAGTTGTGCGAGGCAGTATGCAGATGCTCGTGCAATCTTGGATAAAAAAAAAAAGGGGGAAAAAAAGAAGGACTGTATTTACTTTGTACGTATACACGGGGACAAGTGGAATTCTTTTCATTAAATTTTGTTTTCCAGCATGGTCGCCGAGTACGTACCTTATCGATCGACCAGCGGAATGTATACGAAGCAAGATTACAAGTGAAATGGAATAATTCTTAAAACTTGCACACAACCGTCGGCAGATTTATGCATTCAAAGCACACGTAATGCGATACCAGATAGAATTTAAACGAAAGCCAATTAAAAGTGTAGTTGAACTTCTAAACGACCGAGAGATCCGGTAGAGTAAACCGGAAATTAAGTCGTTGCTTTCGTTTATTTCCTTCCGTTTTAACAACAGGAACGATTCTCGTCGCGTCGGGGATACGTTTCGTATCTCTGTACAACCATCTAAATTAGTCAAAGCTTGAGTAAAACTTACCCGTTGTGCGCGAGAAAGGACTTTGGCAAGGAGAGAGACCGTTGATGAGGATCCAAGGAGACGTCCCCCGTGAGAGAATCCTCTCCTCTAGTCGGGGCGCTTCCAGGCCTAGACAGCATTCCATCTTTCGGCGGTTCCATCAGCGTCTTCAACGAACCAATCACCGCATCCTCCATAGGAGTAGACGCCCCGGAGCTTTTTGCGTTCCTTGGACTTTTCGTCACCGTCCGATCGGACGTGGTGACCCAAATGTCACTGCTAGAAGACGACGATGTAGTCGACGAGGACGCGACCTGACCGCTCGGAGATCTGTTCACGATATTCTTCCCCTGGACCGGCGACACTTTCCTATCTTTATTTTCACAACCCTCGAAACTGCCGGTGAATTCGGGCTTCTGATAGTATCGGTGATATTCCCTCTTCTCCACGGTCGAACCGTTCCCGTTCGATCCTTCGAGCGGCGACCATCGATTCGGCTGCTTCAACACGCTTTTCGGCTGTCTTTCCTGATACTTGGACGCGTTGCTGTTGCTCTGATCGCGGCTAGCTCGACTCTTTCGGGAAGTCTCGCGATCACGGAACTCCCGGTCGTCCATTCGCTCCAACGACGCTGGGGACGAGCTGGCGCTTCCTCTGTTCGCGTCCGTGGGGAGTCTTTGATGAGCCGGATAGCTCTGAGATATCTTCATAAACACTGGTGCCTGGTTAGGCGAGTACAAAGTGTCTCTTTGCGAGCAATGCGGCCAGAAGTCGCATGTGCTGCTGTTGCAACGTAGCTTCGTGTCGGGACTGACGCAAAAGTCGTGGTTCGACGACGAGGGATTCGCGTTCGGGGTCGTTGCACCTCTCTGAAGCGTCTTTGGTCGTCTGGACTGTTGTTGCTGTTGTTGTTGTTGTTGCTGCTGTTGCTGCTGCTGCTGCTGCGGCGGCGGCTGCTGCTGTTGCGGCTGTTGCTGCATAGACGTGCCTGTTGATTTCGCGGACTGTTGCTGCTTAGACGAGATGAAGTAAACGTCGTAGGTGTTGGGATTGTTCCTTTGTCTTTGCTCTTGGCTGTCATCGCGACGCTCGAAGCGACACGAGAGAAGACTTCTAGCCATTGCACGGCTCCTCGTGCCGTAAAGGAACTCGGTTACTGCCTCGGTCTCACGTAGAAGCTCCTCGTTTAACGCGTTCTCGGTTGACTGCGCTTTTCCTACGAAACATGCACGAATGGTATGCCACAGTAATAAACAGACGGAGAATGTAATGGCGAGAATGTAATGGAGGATTCGAGCGTACGAGAGAGCACTCTCGCGTCCGAATAAAGTTAATGCCTGCAAGACGTTTGAACGACGAAACCGTAACAGAAGCAAGATACTGTGTGTGACATTCAGAGAGAAAAAGAACTGGCGTAAGTAACGAAGGAATATACGTACTATTTTGGAGAACGTGACGTTTCCTCTCGTTGCCTCGATCGCTGGAAATTTTTACGACGACTCTGTGGGGCTCGTTAGATTCCCTGGAGTGTTCCCTGCTCGGTGCCGCGGCGCTGGGAGACCTCTTCTCGGGTAATTGAAGGCTCCTGGATCTTCGTACTCGTGACTGATGGGAATCTGGGGACGCTTGCGTCGTCCTAGCGCTCTGATGTTGTCTAGAGGCGTTGCTACGCCTGAAAGCATTCGGTATCGGAGATCTGCCTTGTCTCTCCGCGCTGCTCGACGACGACGAGGAGGAGGAGGGCGAATTGAACGACAACTTGCCGGATTCCGACGACCCGGGCGATCTTCTTAATCCCTGTTGACTTCTATGATGACGGCTCTGTCTGTTTGGCGAAATTCTTTCTCCGTTGGCGCGTATAGACTCCGTGGACGAATTCAGCGCTATTATCGAGGAAGAGACCAGGCTTAGATTCAAAGAGGAACTGGGATTGTCGTCCTCGTCGTCACCGTCGTCGTATCCCTCTACAGAAGAATCCGTGTTCTCGGCTAGTCTCGGCATCGTTGCCCTCGTCACGCAGCTGTCCAGACTTCTGAAACCTACCGACGACGAGGACGAGCTCGACGACTCCAGGTAACGTTGAACGAACTGTGATCTTCTCGAAGACGACTGATCTTCCAATGACTTGGCTTGCGCCATTCGATATTGCTGTTGTTGTTGTTGCTG